ACTTTGACCTTTTCTTGTCTTTGCCATGTCATACTTCCCTTCCTGCCCTCTCTGCCACAGAAGCCGCGCCCTGGGTCTCATCTGAGAACACAGATTAGCCATCTACATTCAGCGGTCTCCTTGGGTGCCTTAATCTTTTGCCGGTGTTCAAATGTACTATTCCAACACTAAAATCCTTCTCCCTTAAGACAGATCTTCATTCTCTTACTAAACATCCTTACCCAAGATCTTGGCAAATAATCCTGTTTCTCTGCACGTCTCTGGAGATGCGTCTGTCCTCATCACCTCTGTTTCCTCATTTTGCCCAACTCCCTGAATTCTGTTGTGTTCGCCTTCTTCATCATGTGACGTCTCTGTAATGCTTGTGGCAACTGAATCTCTTCCTCAGCTGCCCTATCATCTGCAGAAAAATTCTAGACCCTCTTGGGCTAACTTATTTGGTGGTGGGGGGAGGTCTTTGCAGTTGTGAGCATGTTAAGGCTTATGAGATAAGATCATCTTGGATTATCTGAGTGGATCCTGAATGCCACCCTCAATATCCTGATAGGAGATGCAGAGGGTAGTTTTGAAATTGCATGCACACACAACCCAAGCCTTGGCCCTCTGACACTTTCATTTTGGACTTTTGACCTGCAAAATCCAGAAACTATAAGTTTCTGTTGTTTCACGGCAATCAAGTTTTTGGTAAATTGTCACAGTGGCCAAGGAAACTCACAGAGCTGTCTTTTAGCATTCTGGGTAAAACGACTAGCCAGGGATGAGTTGTTTTTTGCCGAGTGAACATGCCCAAGGAACCAGCACCAGGCGGAGAGCAGGACCTCCCCAGCACTCCCAGGGAAAAAGCCTTTCTTGACCACTTCTCCCATCCTCTTGGTGTTCACTATAGGACCTTTAGGGCTGTCACTGCTGTCCGTCACCCATGTCCTTATGGTGTACCTTTTTTTTTTTTTAACTTCTGTTGTTGGGCTTCTGAACAGGGCTGCTATAAACATTCGTTACGTGTCTTTTGGTGACTCTGTGTCTGTGTTTCCATTGGGCACGTAACAAGGAGGGGAATTCCTGAGTCCCAGTTCACATTTTGTTCGGTGCTGACTTGACATTCTCCTCTACACCCACTGCTTCTATTACCACCTGTCACGGAGACACGCAAATCTTTCCCTCTGATTCTAATCTCTCTGCTGAGATTCAAGGGTAGCTGTCAGCATGTGTGCGTGTGTACAACGTCTCACAATACTTATAGACACACTGTGTGCGTGCATATATAACGTCTAGCAGTACATATACGTACACACACAGGTCTGACCTTTAGTGTGAGTTCATCTAAACTCAGTTCCAGAAAAAAAAAAAAAAGTTTCTGCTTTATGTCCGTTTCTCTGTTCATGACAAATTACCATCCTTAAATATTTGGGTTTAAATCATCATCTTTCATTTTTCTTTGACTGCATTCACCCAAACCCTAAAGCCTATCCCCCCATATTTTTTCTACATTATTTTAGGGGCACATTTTCTTCTGGATGATTCGTAAACGACTTCTCTTCTTTTCTTTCTTTCTTTTTTTTTTTAGTCTGTCATCCACCCACAGACTGTAGGTTTATGCTCTCAAGCACAGCTTTGATCCTGCACACTTCTAATTAAAACTCATGGGCATGGGTAGATTATAGAATCAAGGCAAACTTCTTTATGTTGGCTTTCTATTTATGTTTCCATTAACTTGACTTCAAGATCATTTCTAGGAGAAAGACTCATATATAAGTCTTCATTATCAGATATTGACTTATTAACATTGTCTTCTTTTTTTCTTTTTCTTTTTCTTTCTTTTTCTTTTTTTTTTTTTTTTTTTTGGTTTTTTGAGACAGGGTTTCTCTGTATGGCTTTGGAGCCTTTCCTGGAACTCACTCTGTAGCCCAGGCTGGCCTCCAATTTACAGAGATCCGCCTGCCTCTGCCTTCTGAATGCTGGGATTAAAGACGTGCAGGTCACTGCCCAGCTCATAAATGTTTTTATGCTAAGTTGATCGAAGGGCCTCCTCTGAGCATTTCTTGCAATGGCTGCATATGATTATCATTCATAGACTCTTTATTGTCTTTAGCACCCATAAAATCCTAATAGTTTTATACAGTTATTGCTGTTGTTGTATACATGTGTGCATGTTTCTATGTGTGTATACATGTGTGTCTGTGTTTGTGGCTATCAGATGTTAGCATCAGGTGTTTCCCTCACCGATATCACCTTGGTTTTCGAGACAGCCTTTCACTGACCCTGGAGCTCTCTGATTTAGACAGCGTGGCTGCCGAGTGAGCCCCAGAAATCCTCCTGTCTCTGCCTCCCCAGAGCTGGGATTCCAGGTGTGTGCTGCCATATCTGGATTTTTTTATGTGAGTCCTGGGGACAGCAGTCAGGCCGTCATGCTTGCCGGCAAGTTCTTTATAGCTAAGCTACCTCTCCAGCTTTGTAAAGGCCACCTCTGGAGGTGCCAGCCACCCCTCCAAGCATCTCTTCCAGGCCTCACTTCTCAGGTAAAAGCCAATAGCAACAACAAATGACCCGAGTCTGATAATGACACGTTATTATCTAAGCAAATTAGGAGTCGACTGGGTTGGGAAGATTCCATTTTCATTCCTTTAGCAATATAGGAAGGACTCATGGGTGTGGGTGGCTGGAGAGACGGCTCACCAGGTAAGAGCACTTGTTCTTGCAGAGGATCCGGGTTCAGTTCCCAGCACCCTCATGGCAGCGTATGATCATCTTTAACTCCTCCTTCAAGGGATCCAATACCATGTTCTGTCCTCTCTTGGCACCAGGCACACATACAGATAACGTGTATAGATGCAAGCAAGACATACACATAAAATAAAAATAATAAATCTTTTAAAAAAATGATTCATTGATGGAGATATACTTCCATGGTAGTGTTTGATTAGTATGCCTCAGGTTCTGGGTTCAGTCCCCTATACAGAGAAAAAGAGAGAGAATGAGAGGGGATGTTGAATGTGTGACTCACTATGCATGTTGGAGTTTGGTGATGAGGCGAATGTAGACGAACATACCGTTGATAGAACGTGCATCATTATACGTGGTAGAGTTGACCCAGTGACGTCTAAAGGACGGAAGCCGTGCTGCCAAAGCCGCGTGGGTAGTGACTGTAGGAGGGTCAATACTTTCACAGGACAGTGGTAGATTCTTTTTTTTTTTTTCCCATCTTGAGAATTCTAACAGGAATTCCAGCATTCTCAATGTGCAGTGGGGGTTTTGTAGTTTCCCAGTATTGTATGCTTGTTACTTTCAAAAGGTGACTTACCGAGTCTTCAGAACATTCCTGGGACACTACCTGCAGACCCTAAGTTCACTTTTGAAAGGTGACTTACCGAGTCTTCAGAACACTCTTGGGACACTGCTTACAGATCCTAAGTGACATTTTAGAAACTCCCATAAAATGGTTTGGTTGTAGTTTGCATCAAGTTATTCATAAAATGGGAGAATTCTGTAACATGAATCTTAAAAGGTCTTATAATAAAAAAAAAAAAAAAACCCAGAGCCAGATATCAGGATGAAAGCTGAAAGATCAGAGAAGCAGAACAAGCCAGTTATAAGTTCTTACCTCTAGGAAATCCTCAGTCTAAAGAGAGTGAGTTCCTGTTTCCTTACGTATTATATACCTTTCTCTGCCCTGACATCACTTCCTGGGATTAAGGGCATGTGTGTGCTTCCAAAGCAAAGGCATGAGACCTCAAGTGCTGGAATTAGAGGTGTGTGCCACCACTGCCTGACTCTGTTTCTCTCATGTAGCCCAGTGTAGCCTTGAACTCTGCCTCCCGAGTGACAGGATTAAGCATGTGTACCACCACTGTCTGGCCTCTGTGTCTAATCTAGTGGTTGGCTCTGTTCTCCAATCCCCATGCAAGTTTATTAGGGTACACAATATATCACCACAAAAACCAATGGAATGCAAGTGATATTCTGTCAAGAGTCAAAGAAAGGATGAGTATCTGGGGGATGGCATGCTCTTTAGGGACTCTTTCTGGCTCCATCCCTTGGGAAGGCTTGGTCTCCTGTCCTGTTTTTCTGTATCTCTCTCTGACCATGCCTCTGACATCTTCCTTTTCATTGGCGTCTCCTCCACTACGTTTCACGGGCCGAGAATGCTGTTTTGTCCACTCTTTGTGGCAGGCACACCATTCTCCAGTTCTCCAGGCAGACAATGCCTTGTTCACAGCGGTGTGCTTCACCTGTCCACATGGTACGGAGTGCTCCAACCTCTGAGTGCCCCTGTTTATTTTTCCACAGTGCCAGCTGCCTGCAACTTTTATCAGCTTTTGCCAATGTGTGTTTCTAACCCCTTGCAAAGGAGGCAAAACTATGTTTTCCTTTTAACTTTCATAATACATCACAGATAACAGGATGCTTGTCAAATTAAGTTGATGTTAATGCGTTGCCTTGGGAATTAGCCCATGGTGGTTGGATAGGGAGGTTCTGTGTGACAACTTGGAAATGCTATTGTTGATTTTGGTATCTGAGGGGTAGCTCCCTATAGACTGTGTCGTACTAGCCACATTGGCCCTTGGACTCTTGCTTTGTCATGAGTGAGAGGTTAATGGTTTTTTGTTTTGTTTTGCTTTGTTGTTTCAGCTCTGGGTTTTAGAAACAGCAGTGACTCATGTGAGATATTTAACTAACAGATACTGTGTTATGAAAGGAAAAATTCAATGAAAGGAGAGAAAAGCAAACTTCCTATGTTCTGAATCATGTTATTTGATGATCAAAGTGCAGTTGGGCTCCACAGATTCGTTATTGCCCTGAACTTCATTATGCTTTAATAATCTACCACTGAACCTAATTTTATGCTCCATTTAACATTAACCCAGTTGGGACAAGTACAAAGAAACAAAGTATACTTTTTGGAGATATTTTTTTGTCTAAACTCAGAATGACTGGCCTTGTCTCGGGTTATTTAACATGGCAACTTTACTTTGCAGTATTACCACAGAACTCAACTGGGCGGTAGTTCAAAGCACTTGCTGGGGCTGAGCATGGTGGTGCACGCCTTTAATCCCAGAACTCAGGAAGCAGAGGGAGGCTGATCTCTGTGGGTTCAAATCCAGACTGGTCTTTATAGCAAGCTCCAGGCCAGCCAGGGCTACACAGTGAGAATCTAGCTCAGAGAGAAGGGGGAGGGAGGAGGGAGAGCAGAGAAAAAAGAGGGGGAAGGGAGGGGAGGAGGGAGAGAGAGATTGCATTTGCTCAGGAATCATGTGAGAGGAGGAGCATGCCTTGGGCCTCTAGTCTGCTTTTTCATCTCAGGTGTGTCCTAAGGTCATGAACTTCCATCTCCTGCAGGTGCAAGATGTCACTCAGGGAAGACCTGCAAGCGTGGACTCGGGAGCCAGATTCGTGGATCTGAATCCTGGTGCTCCCGCCTTTTAGTCAGTCTATGCAGAGAGTGTCTCTGTTTCAGGTGCCCGCAAACACTAATATTAATTACTGCCAAGGTCCGTTCTCAAGGTGAATTGAGTTCAGATTTGAAAGCATCCTGTGCTTGACACATATCAAGTACGAAACGTGTGTTGGTGATACACAGTGATGAGCGGCCCCTCCTGTACGTGTGCTTTGGGAAGTGTGGACTGTCTGTCACCTTTGTTCTTTGTGATATCCTCCTTCACATTGCTGTCTTCAGGTCACTTGTCAAGTGACTTCAGGTCACTTCTCAAGGAAGATGGTTTCCACCTGTTTGTAGCCTCCTGGTGAGAAGTTACCCGTCAGAGCCAAAAGGTTGTCTTAAAGGTATTTTTCAAGTTACATAACGAAATACGGCTTCTGAGAAGGTGCTGTATTGCTGGAAACTCTAGCTAAGGAAAAAGCAAACAAAAGATGTGAAGGGCATTGATTTTGGGCAGGAGGAAGCAAAAAACTTGTCATTTACAGATGACACAATTGCGTAGAAACCCCAAAGAATATACCAACAAAGAAGTCAATGTGCATACTTCAGTTTCATTATGTGGAGTTGCATATGAACAATGAACTATTAGAAATTTCAAAACATGTATCATTTACGATAGCACCAAAATTTGAAATATATTAATTTGACAATTAATATAGGATTGGTATATTGGTGTATATATAGGTGTGTAGGATTGATATATTGAAAATTATAAAATGCTAATTAAATAAATAGATTCCATATTCAGATTCAGAGACTTACCATATTAAGACACAGTCCCAAGCAAATCGCAGGAGGATGGTCTTTATAACTGTCAATATACAGTCATTTGTTACCAGCCTAGTCTAAAACTTACACAGGAAAGCAGATAGAACAGCTACTGAGTATTGGCTCCAGAATTAACCATGTCTGTATGGCCGGGGTGTAGCATTAAATCCTTTCATGTACATATCCAACAGTTTCACTTGGCAAGCTTGGGATAAGTCTGTACAAATATTAAACCTCATGTCCCTGGCTGGGGAGCCCTAAGAAGGGTGTTGAGTTTTGCTTTTTGGTCTGAGGTGGAATTTCCTGAAATCATCCAGATGCTGTGACCTCAGCGAGGCTCTCTACTTTACAAAAACCTATATCCTGCCACCATGGAACTTCTCTCTGTGGCTTCAAGTTGGCAAGTGGGGAGTTTTATAGATCCTGTCTGGCATTGCCACAGGTCAGTGGTTTCTACACAGGACTGTCATAGACATACCTTAGGTTGAGGATCTGGCAATAAGGTAGCAGAATTTAAAATTTGGTAAGGTTTTATAGTAAGGTCTGAAGTATGAAAGAAAAAAGGCCTGATGAAATATGAAACCCAATGAAGGCCTTTCTGTTGAGAGTGTCAAGGTCCGGGTGAGGTTTGTAAATTGACTAAAGTTGGCTACTTGAACGATTGTTTTTGTAGAGGGCTAGGAAGGGCATCAGGTTTCCAGTCGAACCGTGTCAGGCTGAGAATCGTGGTTGAGGCTGGTCAAATTTTAGTTTTTAATATTATTGATTATTTTTGGGTTATATATTCCTGTTCCGTGTTTACTATAGAGGTAGCCAAAAGTTGAACTTTGATCTTGTTATAGACAGTGATGCTCCTTACGAGTTCTTTTAGGGACTTTAGAGGACCCCTTCGCTCCTTTAGTTTTCTTCTAGCAGTTGTCTCTATACTGGGGGGAGGGAGGGTTAGGTCTTGCTGACCACAGGAATCACTGCGGGCATCTTTCTCTGTAATGACGCTCTTCTTTGTAGAGCATCTCCTCATCAGAGTCCCGCCTCTAGGTCTCCATGACCTCTCTCTGATCAAGAGGTCTCTCTGGTCTTACAGAGGTGTCTCATTAGCCCTTGGTCTCCTGAGACCCAGCTGATAACGGGGCAAGAGACAAAGTATTGCCCTCCTTTTAGCCTTTTTATCCTCATTAGTTTTGGCCTTAAGCAGGCTGGGCTTTAGAAAGGTCAGTTATACCCATCTTGGAGGATGCATAGTGGGCTCAAATATAGTTGTATGACAGCTTTTAAAATAAAATTTGACTTTAAGACTCTGTTTTGGAAGATGTTCAAGGGTTGAGACACTCTGTAGAAACTGTAAGTTATTATTATGATAAAATATAAAAATCTCTTCTCATTTAAAATAATTTTTTAACCAGAAAAAAATGTTTCATGCCTATAGCTTTTTATATTATTTTCTCAGACTTGCTAATTCCTTTATACAAAATCCTTGATGTAATTTGGATTTTTTTTTAAAATTCTAAAAGCCCGGGTATAGGACACTCCTGGTCCCTCTGTTTTTCAAAACATATATATTATTAACGCTTAAGTTGTTAGCTATTTGGTCACACTTCTATAATATTTCATTTAAATTATTTGGTGTCATTGTCCACATAGGCTCAGTAAAAAAAAAAATAAATCTGTTTTAAAATTTCAAATAAATAATTTGTTAGATTTGTTTAAGTCATATGAATTAAAAGGACTTTAGGCTAAGCTTGTGTGTATATCTGTTTATTTATACAGCATCTGGGGAACTTTTTTATATGCACATATCACATAAGAAATACCTATAGGTAGCACACAGAAACTTACATAAAAACAAAAGTATCAGCTCATAGACCCAAGCTAACAACTGGGATCAACAGTGTTATGTTGACCCAGAGGGTTAAATGAGATTAACTATTAGGAATGCTCTAACTAGAAACTCAAAGAACATATAACATATTTGCATTTAATCGAAGTATACTCTTAGTAGAAGCAAGGTAGAGAGAATTTGTATCCCAACAACACAATCTTGCCTAAACAATGAGAAAGTCTAGCCAGGCTAGATCAAGGCTTCCTATGTAGACTTAGGTTAAAGAACTAAACTGATTACCAGGAAATGATGGGGCAGGCAGAGCTCTAGAATTGAGGCTCGTTTGTTAATGAGGAGATGCTTGATGATCTAGACCTTCATCAAACTTCGACTAAGTTTTTGATAATGCATCTCAGGGTGAGTCAGCGGGGGGATAAAAGGCAGGGGACCCCTTGTGGGTCCTCCTTGAGATGCAGTGTTCGCCCTGATGGTATCTGTGGCAGGCAACCTGAGTTCCCTGTTGTCTGGAGTGAAACTCAGCACACAGCCTTCTTTCTGGGAGTCCCTCGAGGAAGAAGGAGCCGTCCATGCTGTGGAGGTGAAACCTCATTTGACTCCAGAGGTCCGGCTGCCTGGTTGGTTGGTCATGTCTCATGAACCATGAAAGGTACACACTGAAACTGGCTGCGAGGAAGTCATGCAAGAGAGGACTCGCTGACCTGGAGAGAGCCCAGGTACCCATTGGTCCCTCGGATCAGGGAGTCAGGCAAGCAGAGGACAACAGCAGGTAGCAAACACCACCCGCCACATGCTCTACCCCCTCCAGCTGGGAAGAGCAGGCCGAGTTTCAGACAGGGAGTGAGGGGAAGGGCAGGAGGAAGGAAGTCCTCACTCAAGGCACGTGCAGATTTCGCCCTGGATGAGCGGTGGCTGTCAAGGTGCCACATGCAGAGAAGGAGGGAGGCTCCCATTACTGCATTGGGCATTCTTCCTTTTTCTAGTACCTTCAGGCCTTACTGAAAGGTAGTCTTGGCCAGGGTCCTTCAAGAAAGTGAGAGAAGTAAGGCTTTCTTACGGAACGGAGTGAGAACGTGTTATCTTGTGATGTGGTGACAGCTGTCCATTGTCACCGCTCCAAGGCCTTTGGATCTCACTGCAGCGCCGTCCCACCCAGAGATCGTCAGTCGCCGCGGCTGCTCAGCCGACTGCTACAAGCGAAAGAGTGAAGAGAGAGGTCAAGGGAGACAAAGAGAGAGTTCTCTGTCAGCCCCCCCCCCCCCAAACGTTCTGGGGATGAGAAGCTCAAAGCATGGTGGTAGACGTATGTATCAGACCAGAATTGAGACTGAAGTTTTGATAAATAATTATGGAGCTGGTGGGGTGGTTCAGTGGGTAGAGCATGTGCCACACAGGTGTAAGGACCTGAGTCAGAACCTGTGTCAAGCCAGACATGGTAAAGGAATACAAATCTGTGATCCCAGTCTTCCCACAGTGAGATGGGAGTAGACACTCACAGGCCAGCCTGCCAGGTATAGGCAGCGCCGGACAAGAGACCGTCTCCCAAGCAAGGTGGAAAGTGAGGACCAGCATCATCTTTATCCCCTGAGCTCTGCATGGGCAGTGGCAGGTGCAGGCCTCCATGCGTGCACTTGAGCACGCGCGTGCACGCGCGCGCACACACACACACACACACACACACACACACACACACACACACAGAGAGATTCTTAAAAAAAAAAAAAAATACATAGTGGGAGAGACAGAAACCAGAGGTGAATTCTCAAAGAGGAAGAGAGAGACTTTTTCTCCTGGGAGGGAATAGAGGGAATTTAGCACTTAGAAAGACATAGTGCTTTAGCTACTGTTCTGTGACTTTAATGAAACATCGTGACTGAGGTGCTTTGGATAAGAATGGTCTCCCATAGGCTCATATATTTGAATGCTTAGTCACCTGGGAGTGGAACCATTTGAAAGGATGAAAGGATTAAAAGATGTGGTTTTCTTGGAGTAGATGTAGCCTTGTTGGAGAAGTGTGTTTACTGGGGGTGAGCTTAGACTCTTTTTTTTTCTTTTTTTTGGTTTTTCAAGGTTTCTCTGTGTAGCTTTGAGCCTTTCCTGGAACTCACTTTCCAGGCCTCGAACTCACAGAGATCCGCCTGGCTCTGCCTTCCAAGTGCTGGGATTAAAGGCATGCACCACCACCACCCAGCTAGCTTTGAAGTTTTAAAAGCCCACACCAGGCCCAGACTCTCCCTCTCTGCCTGCAGATCAAGATGTAAAGCTCGTGGCTACGGCTCCAGCACTTGCCTACATGCCTACAAGCACCCTGCCATGATGATGTTGGACTAAACCTCTGAAACTGTGAGCAAGCCCCAACCTCCACCCCATTCAATGATTTCCTTTGAAGAGTTTCTTTGGTCACGGTGTCTCTTCACAGCAATAGAACACTGACCAAGGCAATGTTCAAGGCAACTTGGAAAAGGAAGCATTTCGTGGGGGGCTTGCTTGTAGTTTCAGAGGGTTAATCCTTGGCTGTCACGGTGGGACGTGTGCCAGCAGGCATGGAACTGAGCACTTACATCCTGATCCACAAGCAGAGAGAAAAAGAGAGACTGGGCCTGGCTTGGGCTTTTGAAACCTCAAAGCCCACCCACAGTGACACACTCCCTCCAACAAGGCCACGCCTCCTAATCCTTCCCAAATAGTTCCAGTAAGTGTGAACCAAGCATTCAAACATATGAGCCCTGTTCTCATCCAGACCATCACTGTTGGTCTTACCTCATGGGCCATTTGTGTGAGGTCAGTATTTAGCGATAAGAGGTGGGGTGCTTACTGTCTTGTTAGGTGGTAATTTCATAACACTGTTTGTCTTTCTTAAGGCTGGCTGTTCAGAGTGAGGCACCAGGAGTCATTGGGAGCTCAGCGTTGATGTTTACATAAAGCATTGGAAGTTACTGGGTCAGTCTTCAAGCAGTCAGGGTTGGATTATTGGAGTCTGAGGCGGTTTGCTTGTCATTTGTGACTTGTTTGCCTCCCAAATATAGTTACTTTGGCAAAAAAAAGTTTGTCATTTTCCTACTAAGTTAACACATATAGTTACCATATGGCCCAGATTTCTGGGTGTTTGTCCAAGACAAATAACACAACTGTAGAAAGCCTTGTATTACAAGAATAGCAGCTTTGTTCAAAGTTTTTCCACCTGGAGACAATCCAAATGTCCTTTAACCAGTGAATAAGACATCTATGGATGAACCTCAGATGCATCTTTCGAGGTGAAGGGAGTCAAACCCAGAATGTTTTGTATGAACTGTATGATTCATTCTGATGATGTTCTGGAAAAGGCAAAATTATAGGAACAACAATCAGATGGCGGTCACCAGGGGATGGCATTGGCTTGGAGCATTAACTGCAAAAGGAGCCTGAGAGGAGAAGCTGGAGCGAAGGGAATATTCTGTATCCTACAGAATACAAAACAAGGCACCCATCTAAACTTGAAAGAGGAAAAAGCGAAGCTTCTTCTGAGTTACCATATTGCATTACTGGGTTTTTAAAATCAGATCAATAAGTACTTCTTAACGTCTTAGAGAGCATCTTCAGCTGGGTCTCTTCCTTCTTCAATATTCAGATCTAATGAATAGACCCCACTTTACTTACGTCATTGATCTTTAATGTCTAGTTCCTCCGTCTGTCGGCAAACCTTTTACAGTGTTTTCATTTTCTCATCAAATCCCAGAGTCTCTCCCTGGAAGCCTCCTGCCCCTTCTATTACTTTAACTTAATTGGACTTTTTTTTTCTTTCTTTCAAATATCTTATTTCTCATCATCCACTCTCCCGCCTGGCTTCTCTTAGCCCCATGGTAGGCTCCCTCTGTTGAAAGGTATAGGACTGACTGCTGAGTGCTGGTACCCGTGGGAGGCGGGAGGAAGATGGCTGCATGGATGGAATTTGATGATCTGTTTGTTTCTTGTGTTGGCTTTTGATGTGTCCATGATAAGGGTCCCCAAAGGAAAAACAAAACAAAACATGGTTTATATTAAGGGTGCTTACAGCCCGTGTTAGCTTTGAGGGATGGGGCTTTGGAAGCAACTCTTTTATCAGCAAATCCGGCTCCTTCACCTCTGTTGTATCTGACCTACAAATGGTGAATTCTAATTGCAGCTCACCAGGCAAGTCAGAGTCCGCATGTTTGAAGTCCCAGGTTCTATCCCCAGCACCGCAGAAAAGAGAGAGAGAGAGACCTTCTATTTATTTCCTGTCTTACTCTTACATTCAGTTACATGGGCGGTGGAAGGCCCCTTTTATAGTATGGTGGATTTCTAACTTACAAATCAGTGTTCATAGGAAAGACGGTGAGAAGTGACAGGGAGCAGAAAAAGCAAAGCAAAGTAGTCTTGACCATGATCTATAATTAACTGGTGTGTACCGTGCCAGCGGCTTTTTTACTTCCATGAATATACCTAGGGAATGTCTGGGCTATCTTTCAATGCCTTAAAATTTGAATTTGCCCTCTTTCTAAGCAGTTTTTCTATTTTATAGTTTTGGGTGGCTCCCCAATATGCTTGAAATGATCAACACATGTGTGTAATAGACAACTTTATTGTTCTGTGAGGACATATATGACCATTTTTTTTTTTTTTTTTTTTTTTTTTTTTTTT